AATCATGCCGGGAGTGTGTGCGTGCATGCCCCAAATCTCAAGAGGTGAGTGAAGGAGAAGGGACTGTGGTGTGGCCACTCCCCATGTGGGAGGGGATTGCTCACATTCTTGTTTCTCTCCCTCTCTCTGGCAAGCCACATGGCCTGTGGCAAAAACCTTAAAAAAAAAAAAAAAAAAAAAAAAAAAGGTTAAACCAATGCCATATTCCAACCAGGTAGATAAACATGTCCATTTCACCTTTTTTTTTTTTCATTTCTTTAGGTTTTAGTAAAGTCATACATGTTTGTTTCTTCTATAAGGTATTTGATCATGTTCTTTGCCCATTTTTCTACCAGATTTCCTATTTCTAGACTTCTTTGTGGGTTCTTTTAAACTTATTTTTTCTTAATTCAAGTTCTTTGTTTCACTTACTTTTCTCCTATTGATTTGGAAATACACATCCCATTTTTAGTTTACAATGATTACTTTTGAAATAAAATTATAAGTGTGCAAATTTTATTTTTATATCAATATTAAAAACAAAACATTTGGGGCTGGCAGGTGGCATGGTGGTTAAAGGTGCTGGACTCCCACATGGTTGACCGCGATTCGAGTCCCAGACCTGGTGGCTTGCTCTCTCTCTCTCTGTCTCTCTCAGGTCAAAAATTGAAAAATAACAGTAGTAAATACATTAATTAAAAAAAATTATATTTGGATAAAGACAGAATGACTTTGGATTTTGGAGACCAACAGGCCTGGTTGGAATCCTAGCTCTTACTGTGCAATCTCGGCCAGGTCATGTAATATCTTTAAGCCCTTGTTACTTATCGGGCTTGTTTATGCAACCTTGCACAAATATTTAGTGAGTACCTCCCATGAACCAGGAAACAGGCTAGGTTCTGGAGTTACAATGGTGAGCAATTCAGACCATCCCTATGTTCACTGTGAGTGCAATAATGCAATTAAATGTAAACCACTCAGTACATTGTTTTATAATTTAATACATAGTAGATACTGGGGCCTGTGAGTGGGATGATGGTTAAGCTGACTGGATCCCATATAACCAACTGTGCATTTGAGTCCTGGACCCCACAGCTTTAAAAACACAATGGGCCTGTGTGTGTGTGTGTGTGTGTGTGTGTGTGTGCCCAAAATCTCAAAGGGAGGGAGAAATGGAAGGGAAGGGATTGTGGTGTGACCATCCCTTGTGGAGGTAGTTTCTTGCTTTCCTCTCTCTCTCTGTCTTTCTATGGTGAGCACATATACTCTCTGGCAAATTTTTAAAAAAACAGTAGAGAGACCAGCAGATGGCATAATGGTTACATCACTGGACTCCCACATAGTTGACCATAGTTAGAGTCCCAGACCTGGCGGCTTAAAAACCGCATACCAGGGGTGTGCACATGCGTGCCCAAAATTCCTAGAGGAAAATAGAGGAGAAGGGATGGAGATGTGGCCATCCCCTCTGGGGGGGTGATTTCTTGCTTTCTGTCTCTCTGTCTTTCTCTGTCTCCCCGGCAAGTGTGTGTGCCCTATAGCAAAAATCTCTCTTAAAAAAAAAAAAAGAAAAAGAAAAAGAAAGCCAGAAGAAAAAAAGAAAAAACAAAAAAGAAAACCAGAAGAGATGATTATTTTTAAAGTTTATTATTTTTTTTCTTTCGTGAGAAAGAGAAAAAAGAGAGGACAGAGGGGAGAGAGAGAGATTCGCAACAGTGTCTTCAGGCTGCAGTCCACCCCTAGTCTCAGCAGCCTGGGCATGGGCACATGTACCTGGCATGCTCAGGGAGGCCCCAGGATGTGAATCCAGGACCTTTCCCACAGGGGTCTAGGTGTATCACCACTGTGCCACCTCTTGGCCCTGAGATGATCACTATTATTTATGCTACTCTCTTATGAGAGATTTAATACATTTTAGTTCTTTCCTCCTTACCTTCCCAGGCACCAGTTAGTTTGTTTCTGCTTTTGGTTTTTGGAGAGGTTTTTGCTATAGGGAGTGTGTACTCACCAGAAAGACAAAGAGAGACAGAGAGACAGAAAGCGAGAAATCACCCCCCGGGGGGATGGCCACGCCGCAATCCCTTCTCCTCTGCTCTCCTCTTAGGATCTTGGGCATGCACTCACACGTGCCAGGCATGAGTTTTAAGCCACTGGGTCCGGGACTCGAACTGCGGTCGACTACATGGGAATCCAACGACATAGCCATTACGCCAACTACTAGTCCCTTGTTTCTGTTTTTTTGTTTGTTTGTTTGTTTTTAAAGTGTATGTAGCCTTTAAATTCAGCTCACTGGCAGCCAGCTTGTTGCACAGAAGTAAGCTGTGATGTTCTGAGAGGCTGATCTACATGGAAAGATTTCCAGTTCATGCCTGGAGACCACCCTGAACACACTGGGTGTACATGTGCCCATAATCCAGCGCTGAGTGAGGTTGGGGTGGATTGTTTCATCAAGACCCTGCAGGGGGGGAACCAGCAGTTAGCATAATGGCTATGTCGCTGGACTCCCACGTAGTTGACCACGGTTCGCGTCCCGGACCCGGTGGCTTAAAACTCACGTCAGGCGCGTGTGCGTGCGTGCCCAAGATCCCAAGAGGAGAATGGAGGAGAAGGGATTGCGGCGTGACCATCCCCTGTGGGGGGTGATTTCTCGCTTTCTGTCTCTATGTCTCTTTCTGTCTGTCTGGCGAGCACACGCGCCCTATAGCGAAAACCTCTCCAAAAAAAAAAAAAAAAAAGAAAAAAAAAAAAAAAAAAGACCCTGCAGGGGATGCTGTCTCTCTGTCTCTCAATCATAGAAGATATAAACTTCAAAAATTCTGCTTGTTAATATTTTATACATGAACATTTTTTATATATCTTATTTTAAAGTATTACAAGTCTTTAAAATTTATATTAATATTGCCATTTTATAAATAGTAATAAATATTTTCTGTGTTCTTATTGAGTTGGATTTGACATCTTTACTGCTTCAACAGCAAACAACAAACATTTGAACACTGTGTTTTCTGGCCTCAAGGGTTATCTTTAGTTTTATCATACTGCACCTTTCGTGTACTTCAGCTTTTAATTTTGATTTTTATTATGTTTTTATCATACTGCATCTTTTATGTACTTGAGTTCTTTGTTTCGATTAATTTTTCAGTCAATTCGAGTACTTCTTTGAGCTCTGATTTTGTTTTGTTTTGTTTTCAGAGAAGATAAACAAGTCGAGTGCGTTTTGGGCCCTTTAACGTATGTGTCTTCTGTTGTTCTCTGTTATGAATGAGACCTTAAACACAGCATAAAATTATTGATTCGTGGGGCTAGCAAGTGGCGCTGGACTCCCACATGGCTGGCAGTGGTTCAAGTCCTGAGCCTGGTGGCTTGCTTTCTCACTCTCACCCTCTTTCTCTCTCTCTCTCTCGCTCTGTGTCTCTCTCCAATCAAAATCACAAAAAATAATAATAAAATAAAATAATAAAATAAATAATTCTTTAAAAAATTATTGATTATTAATACTTGATACTCTAAAATGATACTCCATCACCTTTCTGGTATTTGGTGTTACCCAAATGGAAGTGTGAGAAAGAAGTGTTGCTCTGTTTTTAATTTTATAGATAACCCATTGTGGTTTTTTTTTTTTTTAAGAGAGATTTTTGCTATAGGGCACTTG